GAGACTTGTGCAAGTCCATTCTATTACCTAGATCTGCTTGTGGTATAAGCCTGAATGAGGTCAAGAAAAGGGCTTCATTGATTGTCCCACGTAGCAGTCGGTGAGTACACATAACCCACTGGCACAAGTCTGAGCAGTGTTCCAAACAAGCATTAAAGTCTGGAGGTCCTTGTCATAACCCTAAATTAAAGTTTGAAGTAGGTCAAGAAGCCTCAAGAGTTAGAGGGTCCCAAGATCCAAAACATATAGCAGTTACCCCTGGCTGTCTCCTAATTTCCAACACTACTGAGTGGAATTGTTATGACTGATCTACACAAGGATTACACTTCCCTTCTTGACAACACACACCAAAGTTTAGGTGAATTCAAAAAGGATTTATAACCATCTTTCATTCTGCAACTTAGCAGCTAGACAGAAGCTTGAATTCTAGTCTTGTATCAATCCTGTCTAATGCTCAGCTAATTATTAGTCCATAATTTTATATGGTGTGCCACAGAAGTAAAGTGTAGAACTAAATATGAATAAGATTAGTTCACCATCTGTTTGATCACCAATAATGAAACGAAACATTGTGCAATGTGCAATATACATTTTATCACAACACTGCAGTGCCTCTGCAGACAGAAGTGTTCAGTCAGTATTCTGGTTGTGTGACACAATGTGAGTACATTTGAATGAACAATATATAGTTGAAGTCATATCACCGACAGGACATTTGCTAAATTAACACTTAGAAATCTTATAGTGGGTGAGTATGGTTTTACGCCACTTTTATCAACATTCCAGCAATATCATGGCAGTAGAAATCTTACAGAAAACAGGTTTGATAAAGATAGCTACTTAACACAGAGCTCCAGATAACTTTTTGAGCAATTGAGTTTTTACTCTAGGGTTTCTATTTTAATTGGGTTTTTACATATTTCATATGGTAACCAATATTTTTTCACTCATCTTTTCATCACTCTATTGGGTTTTTCCCCCATAACAGTGAACATTTTAAGATTTAAAAAAAATTAAATAATGTTTTAGATGTATATAACCATGATAACTGTTCTAAATATATAGGCTTGACTCAGAAAGTAAATTTGCCCGTAATTGTGCTTCAGAAATTAGCTCATTTGTACGCATGCTGATAAATCTTCATTGGGTATATACTCGTGCTGTTTTTATGCATTTGAGTTTTTCATTTAATGCATGCATTTCTGTATACAAGTTAATGGAAAGTAATTGGTTTTTGAATCATTTTGGGGGGTATTTTACGCTAATACGCTGCTTATCTGTGGCTCTGTAAACAGATTCAATAAGTATTTACATAATTTGAGTATTTCTATGGTATTTACATAATTTGAGTTAAGTAAATTGTGCATTACAGTGTGATTTATGGACACACTTTCTAAATGTTGCAAATATTTATTTCTTTGGGAATCAAAGCCATCCCAGATTAACACATTCTTAATAAAATCAGATCTTAGTTCTCGCCACCGCTAAACAAAGATCTGAGGACATCACATTACAGGTAACGTCAGACCGACCTTGCGCGAACTTTGACCGACCAATGGAATGACTGACAAGAAGTCGACATTAGCCAATCAGAAGGCAGCTTTCTCATGCTTTACGGCATTAATTTCAAATTGGCGAATACGCTTCGAAACATATTTTGGCAAATTCTTGATTGAAAATTGAAACCTGAACAAAAGCACATTCTGGAATGGCTAATTGATGGTCTAGACTGTATGGTTTCAGTCATTAAGCCCGTAACTATAGTTCGGAATACCCCGTGTTAAAGTTTCGAGGTTGCATGATTAGAAATCACATTCCAACTGTCACTTTCATGATCTGGTAAGTGACGCTCTGATTGGTCGGATGAAAAGTCTTTCTGACTTGACCCCTAATGAGATGTCCTCAGATCTCAGTTTAGCGGAAGCGAGAACTAAGATCTGATTTTAATGAGATTGAGATTAACAGGACAAGAAACTCATCTTCAACATGTTCAATAGACCCAGATTTACAATATGTACAAATGATATTTGAATAGTCTGAGTGTTTGTTCTTCCTAATATCTTGTATCACTGCCTTCACAATACAAAACATGATCAATATGAAGGAATTCTGATCTAGAAGGTCTACCTAATGGAATCTGATTAATCACACCCGTAGTACTGTACATCAAGCAGTGAGTAATAGGACCTTTTCATCTGCAACAAATGCCAGCACAAAACATGCAGAGATTAAATCAACATGCATCCCATATTCCTTCACACTTCATTAGTAATACTTTTCCCTGTACAACTACCATGCTGTGTCAGCCCACGACATCCAGTATCTTAATTAGGTATACAAATATCTGTGTGGTGGTGTGGGAAGACATGCATGTACGCCCAGGTGATGTGGGACCTGAGAGTAATCTTGTACTTAGCTGTGTATTTAAGTTTTTTAAGCAGTCTTCGATGATAAAGTTGACATGAGATGCCGATTATACAACAAATTGTCATTCTGTTAGGCCGGCCTAACCTTCAGTAAAAGGAGACAAGTTCTTTTAAATTAAAATGAAAGTAAAGGGGTCCTTGTCATAACTCTAATATTGAGAGTCCCTACATTCAAATACAATAGGAGCAAAACTCAAGGATCCCCCTTAATTTCGAAGGATGTAGAGGAAGAGGTATGATAAGCATGATATAGAAAGCTTTCTTGTTTATTGCCATGCTCAGCAATTTTCCAGCTATATGACGGAGGCCTGTAAATAATCCAGTGATCGATATTACCAGCACTAATCCACTCCATGGGGGACGAGGACAAGCCATCAAGTGACCAAATCTGACCACCTGATCTTGATGATGGACAGGCTCTTGAACCTAGGGCTTCCTAAATTGTTGGCATTAGGGTTATATCAAGGACCATTTCAATGACATGCCTAATTTTAAACACTGGTAGGGAAAGTTAAAAACTACAAGATTACTCCACATTTGCTTCATTCAATAAGGGTTCCATAGTCCATATTATTATTCAACATGATAAAAGATGTGTAGGATCAAATGGGGAAGATTAAACTATTCACTTTGTCATCATACCTGTTTAGACCTAAATTAGGGACTTTCACAGCATTTGAAATTTGTATACCTCGGTTATCTGGGACTAAGCTTGCTCAGGTATTCTAAGGTGATCTAGAACTCTGATCCAGAAATCAGTCGAAGTGAACCAAAAAGCACATGTTCTACGACAAATCATATTTTGTGATTTTCAAATCCTTGTTTGTCAATGTGCCCCCCAAATAACTGCAAACATTTATTCATTACCAATGTTCTAGTGATTAATCTTAATCCATAATATATCGGAAAAATGCATCAAATGAATGATTTATTGTGGTAACCTATTCTCTTTAAGTTAATGACATATTGCTGTAAAATGTGATAGGAAGATGTGCACATAATTTTGAAGTACCCACAGTTTGATGATGTCAAGCCCATGACAAATTACACATAACACAGGGATTATTGATGCTGTGTGGTAAATAAAGCTCTCATGTATTGTGTTCAAAGGTCAATGTTGTGTGGACAAGGAAGGGTAAGTCAGACACAAATTTCAAATGTACTTGGTGCATGTACAGACAAACATACTAGGTTGTATTTTACAAAAATAGGTTGTACTGGTGCATGTTATATATATAGTTAATTTGAGCCCTATTAAATGCTTAACCATTTCTATTGAATTGATACATTAACAACAGATAGGATGATTTGTTATTATTATTTGGATTATTTCCAACAAAATTAAGCATTTTCATTGTTCACACTTAGAACAGGTGCTTTGACATGCTGACATGTACCTGTAACTTCCTAAAAAGCCTCAAAATATGAAAATGATTTAAACTGATGATTGGTCAGTTGGAACAGTCTTATTTCCAAGAATATTGGAACAATGGTCAACATGGTCAATAATAGATATCAACATTGTTTTAAACACAAACATCAGTGCTGCTGCACACATAGTCTGTCTTACAGACCCTGATACAAATATATATCAAATACAGCCCATGCAAGTCTATAATGTTTGGCAAGTCTAGATCACTGCAGTATCTGAAAATGAAGAGAGTCACTGGGCTCCTTTTTATTATATTTTTATTAAGATAACTGAACATCTGTTTTTTTATGTACAATATGTTCATTTCAGAGACTAGATTTTAGTCTACTGCACACAGCATAATAATTTATAAGATAATGAATGATCATCCGAGGCTTGAACTTTCTACATGGAAAAAGAACATATTATTCAACTTTTATATTCTCACATTCTGTGCAATTTAAACGAAAAATGAAGTAATTACAACATACACTGCAATATCATCTCAAGTCGCAAGAACAGTGTTTGATTATTATGGAGATGTAACTGAACTATTTAACAGAAAAAAAGAAACAAATGAAATATTACATGGTCTGAAAATTAATAGAGATATGTGTTCCTAAAACTTAGCTGTGAAACAGAGTGTTTTGGTGCCTCTATGGGATGAACATCTACTGCATTGGTCAAAACAGGATTACCCTTATTTTCTTTCACTGAACCTTTAGGCCTAACATAACATGATTTATCAATTTATATGACTATTAGTATTGAATTTGATATGGATAAATCGTTGATTGGATCTATGTCCAATCTGGATCTATTTCCTACACACATATGTGCAGAGCAGTTATCGGAAAAGTAAATTCCTTCGTCGTATCCCCAAAGACACTGACGCACCGACATCACGAATATGTCAAAACATGCAAGCTGACACATTTCGATGACTGCTGACCTCTGAGGTCAAGTCATTCATGATGCTGGGTCACATTTGAGAATGAGGTGGAAGAGCAAAGAAGTGTCATTCGAAACTTCAAACAACCTCGTAACAACAATAAGGATTACAATATATCTGACATATTACAATCCCGGACAGAAAACGCTTTAATCGAATATGACTGACTGACAGATGTGCGAACAAGTTCAATATTTCCACTATTACACACCTCTTCTCGTCGCTTCTGCCATCGTCCACATGGGCTCTCTTCTAGTACTTCGCTTTCATCCTCAGATTCATCTCCGCTGTCAGTTTTTGTTGGATGGCCTTCTTGTTCTGCCTCTGTCATACTGTGAGGCCGATAAAGCCAAGAACCACCGATTATACTCTAATTTTCGGCAAACAATTCAGTACTCCAACTACGACAAACCTGTCTTATTCAGACGACTGCGTATGTAGATGCTACTATCGTTACAACAAGCTGTACTTGTTTCGACGTAACGAAGACTGTCAGGCGACTTCCTAAAATTCAAATAATTTCATTTATACTTCATAATTGTTCAGCGTTGTTTGGATATTACAAAACTTGATAACATCAGCTAACTGGGAATTAGAAAATCCGTACCCATGGAGATTCGTACCCCAACATCCCGCCCAATCAACACCAGAATCAAAGAGCATAAAACCTCCACCATCAAATCCGACAGCAAATCAGCCATCTCGGACCATATCACCAACTGTCCCAATCACATCATCAACTGGGACAACGTCCAAATCCTCGCCAACAACCTCCATGACTTCACCAAAAGAAAACTAACAGAAGCAGTCCACATTCGCCGCCACAAGCCATCAATCAACAGAGATCAAGGCTATTTCATCCCATCCGCCTACTATGAACTCATCAACCAATAATCACCTGTTTATTGGCTTCATGCCCCCATTGGCTTCTAGCTATGTGTTTTCTGTCCATCGTGTTGTGATAGCATAATCCCTTTGTTGTCACACCTACCTATGTTATCCCACTCATGTATGCCCTTGTTGTTACTATTAATCCTCTACTGTTAATCCTCCACTTGCTATATATATTCTGCACTATGTCCCTCATTCAGTCTTGCTTGACAATGGTATAAGGATCTATACCGAAACGTCGCCTTTTACAGTATTAAAGAAGTTGTTATCCATAAAAATTGTGTCTATCTTCCCAACATTTTGGGCGGAGTCATACCCAAATCAACTGGATGACTTGTGCCCCAAAAAGCGAGTCCGTACCCAATGAAAATATATATGATTTGAAACTTTAATCATTAATAGGATTAAACTTGTTTTCTGCTAAGACTTAATAGTTTAAATACAAAAACAACAATATACAAAATAAATGGGTACGAGTTATCCAAATCTGGGTACGGGTCCTCCAAATTTGGGTAAGTTTTTTTCAAAATTGGGTACGGGTCAGCCAAATAAAGTACAAATGCTAAAAGAAAATACAGGTACGAATCCGACGAGAATTGTAGGTGCGGGTAAGCCATTTCCATTGGGTACGAATCTCCATGGGAACAGATCATCTAGTGTCCAGCTAACGCATACTAAAATGAATTAAGCAGTCAAATTAGGTTTTTACATTGACGGCAAGTGCAGCGCACATCGCTCGTTCTACTTCAAACAAACAGGTGCTTTACCGATAGAAACTAATTATATAATTATGTGTGTTATGTATACACAACGAGGAAGGAGTTAGAGTGGGTAAACAAGTAGTACACAATGATCGATAAACAAAAGATAACAGGTGTTGTGTATTTGATAGATAATCATTTGTCTCGCATCGAAAATAAAACAAATTATTTTACTTTGTTATGGGTTAACACACAGTCGTCGACAACATTACTAGTATAGCAAGGCTTGATTTGTGATATGCTCATGAATAAACTGTATTGTAGGAGTAGATTTTGAAACATATCCTGAAGTTGTTAATACATATTCTTATAATAAGGATTTGAAATGAATTAGAAGAACAAACAAAATTTGAAACAGCTAACATGACATAAATAACCTTAAAAGTGAGCTCTCCATAATTAAAACCAGGGTGTGGTGGGTGTGTGGTTGTTGTTGGCGGTGGGTGGGTGAAATGGGTCTTGACTTTGCAATCACTGCATGGGTTGAAAGACAAGGTGAAAGTGAAAGACATGTAGATACGCAAAGCTTGCAGTAACAAGGTCAAGTAGGATAGCATCTTAACATATTTTTATCAAAGTCACGTTTGACCAACTGGAAGAAATGTTAACCTCATGTTATTAAAATTATTTAAAAAAATAATTTCACATAGAACGTAGATGATTTGAAATTAAAACGAAGAACCACGCACAGTTTAGACAAGGCCTTCTGTCGCGTAAAGTTCGAAATAGTTGACGGGAAGACACTTCTGTTTCTGCAGTCCTACAATCAATTCTAAACTTAGATTTGGAATTACTCACAATAATGAAACAGTATACTTCTTAAAATACTACTTATTGATTTTATTGGTGTGATCGCTGATGCCGAATGGAGGACATCTGGGACTAAAATTTAAAAAACCCAATCAATCAGACACGAAACACCCTTTTACTCCGTAGTGTACGTCACGTGACACAGAATATGTACCCGCGAAGTGAGAGAAGGAAAACACACGTGTTGTAGATCGCTGTAATTCATCGGAGAATGACATTTTGTGATTGTGTTTAGAGCACTAATAAGAAGATGGGTGTCTATTTGTCCTCGCCAATTACAGACAAAATATCTATCGACAACTCGTGCAAAAACTTTAGATATGGAGCATCATCCATGCAGGGATGGCGAATGACTCAAGAGGTGGCCATCTTCCCTTTTGTTCGGTTGAAGATTTCTAAATAAATCTGTCAGACATGCTTGATTTCTAAACCATTTATGTTTTGCATGTGGACTGTTGTGTCTATTTTGTAAATATTGCTGTGTTCACGCTTTGCCGTTCATTAATTTTGCTTGTCATGCCAAATTGTATGTCACTCATTGGCTCCATTTTTCAAACAACTGAGGCTCTGTTTTATCACATTGGTGCTTGCATTTATCTGAATTATACATAATTTATACACAGCAAACGTGTAAAAAGTGTAAAGGCTATTGTTACAGTTTTCAGACGAGGAAAACATTTGTTGCTGTCAACAAGAGCCACAAAGCCATATTGATGAATAAGGGTTGAAGCGTGAAGTGTGTAGCTCACTATTATTATTTACAATGTGGATAATCACAGTGTTTTGACTTTATTTGTGATTGGTTGATTTTCAGTGATATGTTTGGCTTTTAATTGGAATATTTGGTTTGGTAAAGCTTAGAATATTTTGTTATCAAAATTCTATTTCCAATTAATCTTCCACTGTAGTGTTTAACAAGTAGATGAGTTGTCTGTTCTGCTGAGAATAGTAAATATAATTTCAGGGTTTTGTAATATGTATTGTCACCTAATATACCCAAAGAACACTGAATGAACTTTTCTGATAAAAGATTTTTCTGTTCAAATTCATGATTGATTTTTGATTGCTTAAGTCCATGATGCTGTCTAGTTAGTATTTTGTGTATGTTTCTTTTCACTTGAAAATTCAAACTTATCTAGTAGCTTGTTGTATGATTAATCGACATATCAAACACTATTCTTCAGTTATTGCATAATGCTTATTTATAGCTGGAGACCTAGAATGGATACATGACTCAGCTTTTGTATAGTGTAGTTTTAATGCAGCCATGTTGCTTTCGTTGTTGCTTTAAGAAACAAAGAATACAAATGTCTAGGTGCACAACCTGTGTAACAGTATTCATTACTTTCCACAGACATTTATTAATAGTTTTGCTGAAACAAAGTTTGGATAACCATAAGGGGTTCAAATGTTGATTAACCAAAATAATATGTATGACACATTATTAGGTTGGTTTTTTAAAAAAATGAACCCCCTGCCAATCATACCAATATCCAAGTCTAGAATTACAAATTTTCTTTTCTTATTTGGGCAGTATGAAAACTATTATTGACATAAATCTTTCAAATGTGATTGTATTCTTATTTCTCCTGCAAAGGTCCTTTCAGCTAAAGCAATGCTCAATCATGTTAATCCTAGATGAAAACTTTTTCTATTGGAATTGCTTTGCAGAAAAAAAATTGAATGTACTTTCATTCTAGTCTAATTCTGAATTAACCAAACTAACTGAAATGTTTGCATTTCAGGATGCCCACAATTGCTTGCCAGATTTTGAAGAAGGAAAGGATGGAGCTTTCTTTGCTGTGTATGATGGACATGGTGGTAAGTTGTAAATCTGTTCCTTCAGTGTTCAATGTATAGTGACAGGTGACAGCGGAAAAGCATGGCTCCCAAAATTTACTAACATTTTCAATAAACTCAAGTTTTCCAATGACACAATGTTTTCCCCCATCTCAGAAAACATTATCAGCTGATCACCGCGACCACGTAACACCGGAAATACCAGTCAACAAATCCGAACTGAAGTATGCAATTTAATCCTATTATTATAATATCTGGTAATATAAAAAAAAATTCATTGTTTATCTGGACTAATGTGTGCAATATATTTTCTTAAATTATATTCCAAATTTCATTCAATAATGTTTACAATTAATTCGGCAAAATCGTATGCGAAGTGATCGGTAGATCGCACAACTCACCGTTTAACAGCAACCATGGTCAGATTACCGCTATTGACGTCTTGAAACAAACTTTAGTTGCAAGAGAATGGATACACATATCATAAATGCCTTGCCATGACCCGCTAAAAGTCATATTTGAGGCAGTTTGACAATTAAATGTCAACATAACGTTTTCGCAATCGAAATACATGTTGCGCGGGAAGTCCCTGCGGTGACTGGTCAAAATCGTTCCATATGGCAAAAAATATTCTGGATACAACCTGTACCAAAGTGCTACGCTTGTGGTTCTTATAATTTTAAGTATACATGGTGGAAGCTGCAAATAAGATAACACTGTATTGGAATATATTATTCCTGATAAAATAATAATTTCAGATACAATTTCTTCCGACCATTGCATCAAATTTCTTTAAAGTGGTATCACTGGGTATGTTTTAACTCAATCACCGCCATTCACCGGTAGATTGGCAGGAAACATGGGCACAGCTGATTGCTATTTCCAGCTTAGTTTACGAGAAAATACACACGGTAATCTCAATCTCTGCATGTAAAACAATGCCTTTGAGAGCAGCAAATACATTTTAAATGGTAAATCTTCATGTCTACTGATGTTTTATATCAAATTTCATACTTTTATTGACCAAGTTTGTTATAGATCTACCTGCTTATTCACCTGAATTTGAAAGCGCATATTACACTTGATAAATCTTTTTTTACACTTTGAATCATAAATAACTTCTATTCTAATCTTTTTTGAATCTCTTAAATGTGCAACGTAGATCGGTAGGCAGAGCATGTATACTGTTTTGTTGGTCATCTACCACCTACAACTCGACCTTCGCTAAACCGCTGATCATCTATAACGCTGTTTGGACCCAGAAGGTAGCGTTGTAGCGAGGGATCACTGTACTAGATGCAAAGATATTTTCATGTCCACAGCAAATAACAATGGAATCGAAATTTTATAAGATGTACTGCATGATGTATACATTATTTTGGTGTATTATTATGTCTAACATAATGGGGAAAATAATTGATAAAATTTATCTCCACCAGGATAAAGTTAATAATAGATGATAAACTTCTTTTGACAATCTATATAATTTGTAAATACCAGGAGGAACTGATAATCATTCTAAATTTGATTTAGATAATATTTATTGCTGACAATTACATGTTCTTCCACCGTTGGATCAAGATACAAATATATTCAATGTCGTGTTGGGTATAAAATACGTTAGCTCTTAGGAACTATTCGTCTGGCATACCGTAAATAACATGGACAGAGTATGTGCTGGAAATAAAAAGTGAAAATGACACTGACAGTGACTAAGAACTAAATAATATAGCAGTGGAGCTAGCAGTCGAGCTTGTTTACTGTATTTGCAAACTCTGTAGTTGCATATTGGGCCCATCCAGTTCTGAATAGTCTGCAGAAATCCTTCTGATTCTGATGTACGGAGCTCATTCAGCAGAGTAGTCCTGACCCAAGAAGCCTGAGATGCAAAGGACTTTAACCCACACTTTGATGACATAACCTGGGGAGTTCCACTGTTACTTCCTGGTTGAGGGAATAGGTCGTTTGTTTAAGCTTAAGTTTTGAATGTAGTTTGGAGAAATTTTCTTGACAATTTAGAATACTTCATGAGCCATGTCCTTTCATTGATTTATATGAAGAAAATTGGTCCCAGCCACAGTTAGAAGACCAGTAGGTGAGCTGTTATGATCATAATAAACAAATTATTTTTTACAATTTTGTGCTGGCTTTGTTGCAGAAGTGCCAAATAAGGGGACAGTAATTAAAGTTTGAAGCAATAAGGTTTTGTAAATAAAATTCTTCCCATGCCTAGTTTGATAAAGGTCCATGTGTTTTTTATTCCTGCTAGTTCTTTTGCAGCCTTTCTGCATATTTCAGCAATGTCGCTGTTATGTGGCTATACACATTAGCATTGGGTAGATAGTCACATCAAACAGGACAACACTGTCATCTCAAGCTATTTCTGTGTTACCAACAGTGAAGTTTTTAATACCAGTGTGACCTTTTTGCCCCCTGAGGCTTATTGCCTGAAACTTTCTCTTGGTCAGCCTTAATTTTGTTGTCCTTAAACCTTGTTAGTGTGGTGTTAGTCTCTTTGGAGGACAGATCGTAATGTCGATGAAGTTTCATTTAGTGAAATAAGCACCAAAATTTGCAATTCATTCTTTCAAGGTCCTTTAATGTGTAAACTCTTATTTCATATTTACAGGTTTTAATAAGTTTTTGTAATGTGAATAACTGTTTAAGAGTTAAAAACTGATGCTGGAGTAACAAAAATTCATTCACCATCTTGTTGTCATACGTACTTCATGCAGTTGGATAGAGAATTGGCTTGTTTTTCTTATAAGCATGTGGTTAATTACGTTTCAGGTGCTGAGGTTGCCCAGTACTGTGCGATGCATTTTCCTGACTATGTGAAGAAGGTGGATGCCTACAAAGAAGGAAATGTCAAGCAGGCTTTGGAAGATGCCTTCCTACAGTTTGACAGCACTCTGATTGAGGAGGGTGTTGTGAAGGAGCTTAGAGCCCTTGCTGGTGACGACGATCGCAATGCTGAAGAGGAGGAAGGCAAGTGATTGTTTTGTCAATTTTCTGAGACATTTTAGAGTAGAACGGAACTGAGTTTAAGTGCATTAAAGGGAAAGTAGGTATTCTCTGGTTCAGATAAAATATTCAGTCCTTCGCGACAGGGTATTATTGAAGAGAATTTGGCTGCTTCTGAATGTTTGTCCGAGATGAGGTGGATCGCCCAGATGTTTTGAGTAAGAATTTGTTAAATAAAAATCTCAAAAGTTCACTTATTGAGACCATTCTCACATGCTTGTCGACAAGGTCCATGATTGTATTCTTTTCAGGCTATACAGTAATGTATACATACATAATACAGTAATGTATACATACATAATACAGTAATGTATACATACATAATTAATACAGTAATGTTGCTGATTATTCACAAGATTTTGCTTTTATTAGATATCTTTGTATTGATGCATATGTCATGTTTTGGATAACAAATAAGGAACATTTATTGAGTGTCTGGTGAAATCAATTGCAAGAAGGTATCCTACAATGGAAGAATAATTCCATTTACGACTTAAGAGGATGTGAAAGACTATCGTATGTGTTTCAGATGGTGCTGTGCCGGTTGGCAAGACAGAGGCAGACCTGTTGCGCCAGGAAGCGAATATGCCTCTTGATGAACTGTTGTCAAAATATGAAACCGCACCTCCAGGCGCAGGACCACTCAGAGACATCCGCAAACAGCAGGGAGAGAAAGTTCTCTCCCCTTCCATCAGACCCAAGAAGAAAATATTCGGGGATGAGACCGAGGAAGCCGATTCCTCGGTGAGGAGCGGCCAGCTACTCGGTGATGGTGACAGTAGAGAGAACAATGCAAACAACAGTAGTGAAGACTCTAATGTTAATAACAGCAGTGTGTCCCGGTGTCCTATGTCTGCTAACATAGAGGACAAGCTAATCAATGGACATGCGGACAATGAGAACAATCTGAACAAAGAGAAGGAGATTCAGGATAGTTTGAACCAGCAGCAGAGGGGGCCCACTGGAGGGGGAGCACAGCGGTGCGAGGAGGCAGTGTCCTCGTCCTCCAGTATTGATGGAGTAGAAGATGGTGCTCAGAGAAAGGAAGAGAGTGATGGACAAATTACGTCTCAGTCCACTGATCGAGTGGTGTCACAATCCAGTGATCGGACCACAAGCTCTGTGCCTGGGGAGGCAGATGCTTGCCAGGTGAAGGCAGCAGATAGTGGTAGTTCCTCTGCTGGCAGTTCCTCCAGCTCAGGGGGTTGTTCTAGTTCGGCAGGGAGTTCATCAAGTTCAGCTGGCGCTGGACCTGGACCTGGACCGTGCTCCAGTTCCGTAGATGAGGTATGGTATAGGCTTAAGGCACAAACTATGGGCTGTTAACATTTCTCGCCTGTTTACTTGAAGCATGTTGTCATCGTACCCCATAAAGTGGTTCTTGTTGCACATATCAATCACTGGTTTGTCTGTGGCGACTGTCATATGGCTAGAATTTGCTGAACCGGGCTTGATTTAAGGAACTTGATTTGACTTGTATTAGGTGCTTGTTGACATGAAAACCAAATGCACCTAACAAAACCAGGTTGCACCCTTGTTCCATGAATTTAGCAAAGTTGAAACATGGGCCAATCTGCAGTCCCATTACTGTAATTCATAATAGGAACATGTGCACATTATCTTGAAGTGCCAGCTTTATGACGTCAAGCCTAAGAAGGCATGACAAATTACATGTAACAGGGATTAGTGATGTCATGTGGTAAATAAACTTAAGAGGTTTTGAGTGAGTTCAAAGAAAGATTTTTTTGTGGACAAGTAAGGTTTTGTCACAATTTTGAATTTTTTACTTGCACTGGTCAGTGTATAAAATTCCCTAAAATTTCAGTCAGACAACCAGACATTGCAAAGTTACCAGACCAGATAAAGTGTTGCCAGTCCAGAATTTTCAGACTAATGAACAAAAGTATCAAAAGGGTTAACTTATGAATAGTACTGTTTAATGTTTGTTCTCTGAAAGTTACAATAAACTGGGGTATTGTCAACTTAGTAACTTTAACTCCTGACCATAGGGCATACACTTATTCAAAACCGACAGTCAGCGAAATAACCGTCTTAGACTATCAGGCAGGCAGGTATTTTAAACACTGCACTTGATGCATGCAGACATAAATGTTAGGATGCAATTTTGAATAATTGGTTGCACTTGTGCATGTTTTATATAGCTAAGTCTAGCCCTGCTGAGTGAGGTATATAGCAACAAACAAGCACAACTCATGTATCTGTCATCATGGTCATAGCGCAGGTGTGTAGCTACAGTAGGTGACATGGGATGTGTCAGGACACGTACAGTATCAAATCATTCATTTCACAAGTTCATATTTTGCCTTAACATGTTTACTCTAGATAAGGGTGTAAGGTAAAATTAGATTTAGCATTGCGTTGAAGACTGTTGCACTTCTACAGCAATGTGCATACATTTGTGTGTGTGGCTGTTTTACTAGCCTGGATTTATCTCGGTTTTATGATGAGATACTATGCCGTAGTTTAACAAGGATACCCCACTCAGACCTGGAAAACTGATTCCGAGCCGAGCCAGTCCTACTTTTATCTCCTTAATGCTTAGCACTAGGCAGGGAACCAGTACCATCATTTAACGTCTTTTGGTATGACATGTCTGTGAATTGTACCACCGACCTTCCACTGTCAAGGCAGAGGCATTATCCCGTAGACCATGGAGATATGGTCAACCTAGGGACATCACATGATGGATATCTGCCAAGTTGCATGGACATTGCCCATCTATTCAGAGCTCCAGATAAGCTTTTGGTGTTGTGGGTATTTTACCCATGCATTTTAAAATCATTGGGAATCAGTAATTCTATCTGGGTATTCAAATTTCTGTTACCCACTAGTTTTTACACATGTGGGTATTTAAGTTAAATATTTAAAAACACTATTCTATTTAAAAACATCTAGTCCCTGCAAACTGATGTCGTGTGGGTTCGAGAGCTTTATAGGACTAGAAAATACCACGATACTTCCACAAGAAAGTGTGATGGCAAATGATCCTGATGTAACTGTCATCCTGGAGTTTGGCAAGGTTGACAGAATGCCCGTTTATAATTTCAAAATAAGTTGCCGATTTGCTAATCAAATACGCAGGGTTACTTCACAATATTTTGATGATACGCACAAGTTTTATTTTTGTATCTGTAATGTTCGTTGCATATTTGATTCGCTTGGATTTTGTTTACTGCGTATTTCTGCATTTCTGATGCGTACTTTACGCAGATACGCAGCTTATCTGGAGCTGTGGATATCTGCCAAGTTGCATGGACATTGCCCATCCATTGTTTCATTAACGTTGAATAAGTTCCTGATTCAACTAAGAAAATATCAAATATTTCACCATAAGTGTAAATAAAGTTAATCCAAATGCAATGTTTTGTTTAGCCCATGTTACGTTCCATCTGCTCATGTCTTGTCACTCACCTAAAGGGCAGATAAACTTCAGACTTGCATGTGAGAGGTTTGGTGAAAACATTGAACAGCTTGCAGATTGTGGAAGATATGATCATGTTTCATGTGTGGAATGTTCCAGCCGTGTACGTCCGGCAGTGGTGGAGCAAGCAGTAGTGGCAGCAATGTAGATGGGGAGCCTGGGCCTAGTGGCAGCGGCAGCAGCAGCGGTCGTAGTCCTGGCGGCATCTTGGAGGCAGACAGTGAAGATGATGATGCTGATGAGGATGATGAAGAATATGAGGAAGAGAGGTAAACTGTCCGTCTGAACTGTCGCCATATTTAATGTTTTGACAGAAGATGAGGCCAGCAATTCGCTCTGCAGAGTTGTCCCTTTGGCATGCCAGAAACATGTTAGCGGGTTCAGATGTTTCTCAGTTTTTCAGGACTATACCTGTTCTCGTGGGTTTTGCCAAAGTGGCTAAAGTGGCGTTGAAACAAACTCTCTCACTAAAAAAATGGAACATTTATGGTTCTCTTGTTTGAAAAACATCCCTAAGTAAATACTGAATTGAGTGGCCCTTTGAGTGACAAATGAAGAGGTGAGTTGAATGGGAACATCTTACTACCTACTGTATTGCCATTTCTCTTGTGCAGCTGACTGTAAAAATTATTGACTGAATATAATTCAACCTTTTAACCTGTGAACCTTTGGCTCTCCTGGACCCTCCTTGTCCAAAAAGGATCAAATGATCTGTTACATATGACCTAAATGATTTTGCCACTTAACTGATTGCCTTATTGTAGCGATGATGAGGAGGAAGAAGAAGAGGAGGAGGAAGAAGAAGATGGGGAGGAGGGAGAGGGAGGGTACATAAACAACCCTTCTATGGACATGACAAATGAAGAGGTGAGTTGAATGGGAACATCTTACTACCTACTGATTTGCTGCAACCTTGAGGGTATTCTCGGGATGAATAATTTGTCATTAAAGCCATCTATTTGATGTTCCTGGAGAGGACATTAAAAATACAATGTGTTCTCTAAAATGCAAGAAAAAATATGCCTTGGATTTGAAGAACTCAACTTGTTTGCTGGACATGCTTAATGCCGAATATTGTAGAGCAAAATAATAAAAAATAATAGGTCTTGAACATGTAACAGTGATCGAAAACATTCCGTTTCTAACTAAAATCCCAGGCTCTTCTCTCCCTCCTCTCCCCTCTCCTCTATCCCCTTTTTAAAGGACCTCCTCAATGGTCTAGTGGTAGAGCCTCTGTCCAGAGATGTTAAAAGAACTTGTTGTTTCACTACCTAGACCGCCTCTGTGGTCTTGTGGTAGAGCGTCCGCCCGGAGAGTGGAAGGTCCAGGGTTCGATCCCGGCCGCGTCATACAAAAAGACGTTAAAAGATTGTACTTGTTACCCTGTCTGGCGCTCGGCATTAAGGTCGGTCAGTATACTGTGTCTGAGTGGGGTATTCATGTTAAACTGCGGCATGGTATCTCAGTGAGCTAGCACTATAAATCGGCATCAGTCCGGACTAGTACAAGCAGCCACACACACACCACACAACAACGCACCGCACCGCACCGCCACGCCACGCCACATGTACCTGCATGTCGCCAAATAAGTGCAATGATCTTGAATGTGACGTTAAACCCCATTTCAGCTCGACCTTTTGAAAGGACATCTTTAACATCAGATTATGGCTTGTTAGTTTGTTCCTATTTGCATCCATTCTTTTGTATATTTAATCAGATTTCCTTATGGGAAGAATTATCTTTTAGCTTCAAAATTATTGCAATTAGCTCATTGTTGTAAAATGTTTCAAACTAGTATCTGAAATGCTGGTTCTTATGACAAGAAATGAAGCACTCTGTTAATGTGAGCTAGGTCATACACCTCTGTGATGTGACCTGTAAAGAAATGGGGCAGAATAGGTCTTCAGCCACCCATGCTTGCCGTGAATGGTGACTATGCTTGTTGTAAGAGGTGACTAATGGGATTGGGTGGTCAACCCCGCTGACTTGGTTGATGCATGTCATCATATCCTAATTGGTGGATCGATTCTCATGATCTCAATCACTGGATTGTTTGGTCCAAACTTGATTATTTACAGACCTCCGTCATACAGCTGTAATATTGCTGAGTGCGGCGTTAAACAACAAACAAACAAACCACTGTGATGTTCAGTTTCCTAATGCTTACCTTTCAGCCAGGCTCTGACAGTGGTTGCACTGCCTGTGTTGCGCTGCTGCTGGGGAAGGAGTTGTATGTTGCCAATGCTGGAGACTCCAGATGTGTGCTGAGTCGAAATGGAAAGGCTGTTGATCTGTCGTTTGATCACAAACCAGAGGATATACCAGAGCGAACTCGTATTGAAAAGGCTGGAGGGAAGGTCACCTCAGACGGGAGAGTTAATGGAGGCCTTAATCTTTCCAGAGCTCTTGGTAAGTGCCTCTCTATCATGTGGTAATATGGGGAATGAGGAGTCCTGTGTATTGGCATAAAATTTGTATTGCAATATATGGCGGTGTTAGTATCTGCACAACGATAAATTGGGAGCTTAGTGAGTGAGTAAGTGAGTATGGTTTTACGCCGCTTTTAGCAATATTCCAGCAATATCACGGTGGGGGACACCAGAAATGGGCTTCACACATTTTGCCCATATCGGGAATAGAACCCGGGTCTTCGGCGTGACGAGCGAACGCTTTAACCACTAGGCTACCCAACCGCCCCAAATTGGGAGCTGAAAGTATTTGACAATGCTTTATCAATAGTTCAATACTAAAGTAAATATTACTATGTTAATGTCAGCATTGTCAGTCACCACCATTTTGTAGTCATGGATACAGGGGAGGTAACAATATGAGAGAGAAAAATTACTTCTGCGAAGTGAAACATTATTTGTGACTGAATTCTCATGTAGTTTTTAGGTTAAACGATGCAAAATATGATGAAACTGGTTCTATATATTTTACCCAACATACTGGAACACTGAAAAAATATTACAATATGTATCGTTTGAAAAGCATATTGCAGTATGCTTGTATACCAGTAATACCATGCAAGTCTTAGGAATGAGTGGCCTAATTGGCAAAGGCTGCAGTTTGCTGCTCAAAATTGCCTCCCTTAACTGTGCCAGGATCTAGTGACTGTTCGAGTTTCACAATTGAGATCATTTCTTTGGTTTGTCAATATCATACCTTGTGGATGTGGCGAAAGTGTTACAGATGTTTTATAACTCCAATACAGTTTTAAACAGTGTTATTTACTTACCAAATTAAGTGAAATGGTTCCACAGAAATTGGAAGTTCTATTCAATGCAATTTACAAGCCTCACACCGACTGGAATTATTATCTAATGTATGACAAAAATGTTGCAGGCAATGAAATTACATCAGAATAACACGGTTTAGTAAATTGGAGTTTTCATTTATCGTGATGGTTTGTGATTTGACTACTTACTGACTGCCTCCATTCCTGTAGGGGACCACTTCTACAAGAGGAACCATGAACTGTCTCTCAGAGAGCAGATGATCACATCTCTGCCTGACATCCTCGTCACAACGCTACAGGAGGAGGACGAGTTTATGGTGCTTGCCTGTGATGGAATATGGTTAGTTTGTTTGTTGTTTAAAGCTGCACTCAGCAATACTCCAGCTGAATGACGGCAGTCTGTAAATAACTCACTTCTTATTCTGCTTGTTTATTTGTTGTTTAACGCTGTACTCAGCAATATTCAAGCTACATGTAAATAAGCGAGTCTGGACCAGGCAATCCAGTGATTGGCATCTTGAGCATCTATCCATGCAATTAGGATATGATGACATGCATCAACCAAGTCTTTGAGTCTGACCACCTGTCAGCATAGTGGCCTTTTACAGCAAGCATGGGTTGCTGAAGACCTATTCTACCCCGGACCTTCACGGGTTGAATATGGTTAGTGTTACATGCACACACCATACCGCTATTTCAGTGCTAAATAAACTTTTGAGACAGCAGGCATTCCACATGCAACAAATGAATCCATCATCTAGCAGGGGAATGCGGTGCACGGGATGTTCATGCTCTACACATGCACTCTAGACCACGAGAAAATATCATACACACGTAGAAATTGGATGCAAATGATAAGATAACTGGGTGTATGGTACTTGGATAATATATAGTATGACACATTTCAATGCATTTGCTTTATCATGTTTATGTATATGATTAACAAGTTAACTTTGCCATGTTGTTTCTGTACTGTTACAGTGTATTTAATTACCAGTTATTCTCAGATTATGATAAACCTGTGTGGAATCAGAGGCAGGTCTCTACTGCCACGCCCATCGGGCATGCACACACGCACGTACGTCACTATATATGTAATAAAGTGTAATTATCTTGTATGCGAAGTTGTGCAGACTACCCTGGTGCTGTTGTGGTGACTGCTGTTGTGGACTGTTGTGGTTGTCTTGTTGTCATATTGTCCTGTTGCTGTTGCAGGAACTTCATGTCAAGTCAGGAGGTGGTTGACATGGTTAGGCAGAAGCTAAGTGATCCAGTCAAGAGAGAAAAACCTTCCCTTGTGTGTGAAGAGGTAATTGTAGCAAACATTATATGATAGTTGTGGTGGTTCTGATTACTTGTCTTCCACTGGTTGTCAGCTGGGCTGATATTTCCATGGAAAGTTTGAGGAGATGAGAGGAGATGCGGAAACCTAGTGGTTAGGGTGTTAGCTCATCACACTGAAGGCCTGGGTTCGATTCCCATCTGAGGCATTTATTACTGGTGTGAGTGGTGTCCCTTGCAAAGATATTGTTTGAATATTGAGAAAAGTGGCATGAAACCCAACTCGTGAGTTGAAGAGGCACTCACAGTTCTCCATACTCGTCATTAAGATCAACTAAGAATAGAGTGGCGACAGTGTGTGCTTATTATGCCCATGGCCCACTGGTTGCCTGCCCGGGACTAAAACTATTTTGTGGCTACTGTGATGTGGCTTGAATAACATGGACAACACTGTTCCGCAGCATTCTCTCACTCCTGTGATTCAAAATAATTATTCTCAGACAAAAAGTACAAGCTCAATAATGCTTAAAAGTTTATGTCTTTTTTCTTGTTTAATGCAAGAGACAAAAAAGTTAATAAGTAATTCCTCTTCACATTTGCATTAATCGTTATTGTTACTGCATGGTATACTGTTAACATTTCATACCAGAAATACATTGCTTAAATGCTTTTGATGTTTCTATTTCAGCTGTTCGATTACTGTTTGGCGCCGAATACATTTGGTGATGGTACTGGTTGTGATAACATGACCTGTATAATTGTGACATTCAACAAGTCGCAAGATGACGCCTCAGTGCAGAACAATAAACGATGTGCCAACGAGATGGAGTCTTGCAGTAGTGATGAGAAACTAGGCGAAAAGAAAGCTAAAGTGGAACCTGAAAGCACTCATGAAGACATGTGATCTTGGGGTCTTTTAACTTATTGTAGCCTTGTATATGTCCTCCTCCTCTTTTAAGATAAATGCATTGTACATTTGATTTAAGCTCCAGGAAACCTTGTTTCTTTTGTTGATATGACACAATTTGCGCATTTGGCCGATATCAGAATGCTGTTTAAAACCTGCAGATTTTGATGTCAATAGGATTGAGAATGAGACCAGATTGTTTGTTTTTCATGGTTTCTGAAACGTTTTATATGAATATAAAGATTATAAAAGATCGTTTCTGCCCTGTTTCTTAAGCGTGTAGCAAGAAGATTAAAAATCGAAGAATTTGAACTGCAAAGTTTTTTACCAGAAGTTGTCAGTGAAGGATGACTCTAAAGTATGTAGTATAAATCATTGTTGACACAGTAATGTTGCAGTTGACAAATGATATATATAGTGAACCCAAAACTTAGGACTCATGAATATTTTGGGGAGTATATTTATAAAATTGCGTGCTCAGTCTACACTAAAAAAATATCCCCCTTAATTATTCCTGATCCCAAACTTTTTACTTCAGTATATACTGAAACACACTGAAAACACATAATCAACTTTAACTGATGAATAAACGATTTTGGCAGTACGTGTTGAAATGCGTCAAATGAGATTCGAAGCCATATGACAACATTGTTGTTTATCTAAACCTGATAACCAAGAATAACTATTCTATTTTTGTGGCTATTTTGCCAAATATAATATAAATTTGAATATGCGTTTTCAAAGTGTGTTGTTAACTTGTAACGTCGTACTGTATGTCCCACTTCATTCCTGTGTGATGAAATAAATTGACTATTCAGAAAACCATGATGTATAAAAAACCTGGCCTGAGTCTTATTGAAAGGTACACAGTTCTATCCAACTAATGTTTGGCACCTTTCGGCATTTCATATATTCACTTGAATGTTCTTCTATTTCAAAAGCAATATTGTCAGAGTGAAATATTTTGTCTTGTACATGTACTAAGTTTGAAATATTCCCTCTTAATTGATCGCTTGTACTTTTGAGTATTAATGTTAGTAAACAACATACGTGAAATAATAAATAAGCGGGATAGTTTTGAATATGTAATATTTCACCGAACACTGAAAATGAGTAGAAAAGAGATTAAAACAACATAAATGATATATTTTTCCATCCATCTTGACATTCTTAAGATCAGTGTTGCCATTGTATGCTGGACGTTTGTGGATTGAATTGTAAACACTTCTAGGGTTTCATTATCCTCCATACTGTATGATTTCGAAGAACTTGTGAATGATGTCCTATTTGGATGTATTTTGTGCATAACTCATTGTGAATAATCATTGCTTGTGTTCATTACAATCCACTATGAATTGTATTTGTTGTGAAAAGTTCATCTCATAACTGGCATGAAATGCCCTAGTCGGATCATCCAACTGAACTACTACCCGGTGACGGATGTTCAGTGAGTGCATTGACAATGTTCATAGCTGTAGAGTAGACTTTGGTGTGTTCTTATGACTGGTCGTCCTCCATACATACCCGCCAAATATCTGACCTCACATTAAAGTGAACCAATGTATCACTCGTTCTGTCAATAAGTTCCCAACAGAAACTGATCGTAATTTGAGAGGTTGGTGGGAAGCTAAGCTTAGCTAAGTATAGCAACCATCCCCTCGTTTCTCTTGCTTGATGGTAGCTGCAACTGTTTCAATATGGCCTTGCTGTGCTATCCATATATTTCCCAACTGAACTAATCCTAGTGGGAAGCTGTGCTCAGCCTGAGTCATGTATCTGGTGGCACGTGGTCCTGTGCACAGCGCACAGATCACAAATCAGGGGAAGTTAAACAACGACGATCTCGGAGAGTAGTTGGATGGGTGACCATGTTCAGCAGCTTGACTCCTGAGAGTTTCTAGGGCTTCGGTCCTGCCCCACACTGAAGCACATGTAACACATGTGGTGTCTCCTCAGGCAAGTGACTTTGTTCGGAATGTGCCTCTGTTCACCCAGCAGTGAGTGGGTACCCGGTAGGATGAGATGGTAATGTGGCTGTTTACCTTCTAGCGCCTCACAGGCAGCTTGGGTTGTATACTCCCCAGGGAGCTGAGAATGAAAATCGAGTGCTCACTGATCCATTGACCGGGGTAATAATAGTGTAGCGCTATGAGCATCCACTTGGTGAATGGAATCTGGCGCATTATAAATGCACTTATTATTATTATTATTATTATTATGTAGTGACCAGCCCCGAGCTTCTCTTGCCTGATGGCTGATGCCTCTGTTATTTCATTCCAACCCTGCTGTTTCAGTCTGTAGGTCGGTGGTGTTGGCTGGTACGTATGGATGAAGGCTGTAATGACCTTTCTGTAGGAATTTAATAATACAATGGAAGACTTGAACTGTTCACGGCCTCTGGCCTGTTACACAAGGCAATTGTAGCCTGACAACTAGCATAAATCTATGTCTAAGTATGGGACTTCAGCATTAGAAATTGGCACTAGTCCTGTAGTCCTTGCCAAACGTGTCCAATTGTAAAGGTATCATAAAAACTAGAAGAAATTTGCCATTATCAGGAGTTTTGCTACATGTTATCATTATAAGGACTAAACTGAAACTGTTAGTTTCTACTGCTGCACTTACAACAGTTTTTGCTTTTTGATCGCTTTTGGGTTTTCTTTGGGCCCAGGATATCATTTATAGTCAAGCTATATACTGCAATTTACCGGACGCGTGAAGATCTGGTGTAGAATAGGTCTTCAGCAACCCATGCTTGCCGTAAAAGGCGACTATGCTTGTCGTAAAAGGCGACTAACGGGATCGGGTGGTCAGGCTTGCTGACTTGGTTGATGCATGTCATCGATCCCAATTGCGTGGATCGATGCTCATGATTTTAATCACTGGATTGTCTGGTCCAGACTCGATTATTTACAGACCGCCATCATATAGCTGGATTATTGCTGAGTGCGTCATTAAACAACAAACCGGATGCATTTGGTCTGATTTCAGTTAGTGCTGTGAGCAGATCAAACTCACATTGCAACGTAAACCAGACTAATGATTAAGTCCGATTAGCCAACACCTTACCACATGGGGTATCGCAAATAATTGGTGCACATTACCTCGTGATCAGCACAGGTTGTTTGGTTAACTTTACATGGGATTAATTTGGTAATAATGGGAGACAGCTAACTCTAACCTTATCTCACAACTAGCTCTAAGGATTGTGGTGACTATGCTTGTCGTAAAAGGCGACTAACGGGATCGCATGGTCAGGTTCGCTGACTTGGTTGATGCATGTCATCGATCCCAATTGCGTGGATCGATGCTCATGATATTAATCACTGGATTGTCTGGTCCAGACTTGATTATTTAGACCGGGTACTTACTGTAAAGGGGTACTTAACCCTAAGAATTGTAAAGGGGTACTTAACCCTAAGAATTTTAACCCTAAGAATTGTAAAGGGGTACTGAACCCTAAGAATTGTAAAGGGGTATTTAACCCTAAGAATTGTAAAGGGGTACTTAACCATAAGAATTGTAAAGGGGTTCTTAACCCTAAGAATTGTAAAGGGGTACTTAACCCTAAGAATTGTAAAGGGGTATTTAACCCTAAGAATTGTAAAGGGATACCTAACACTAAGAATTGTAAAGGGGTACTTCACCCTAAGAATTGTAAAGGGGTACCTAACACTAAGTATTGAATAAGGTGCAGAACCCTGGGGATTTTACATGGTTATGTCATCTTTATGGGATCCGAGGGCCAAGGTTAATTAGGTCAGGCATGTGATATTTTCATCTCAAAACAATTCCGTCTATTGTCTTTTTTACAATGTTTTCGATGTTAAACTTGCAATTTTGGAGACATGCCTTCCTCCGCAGAAAAAACTAGTCATTTCAGTCTAGCCTGTCATTCTACAATCACATGGCTGTGGGTGTAACCTACAGTAATTGAACTGAGGATCCAAGAGACACGCCATATCAGCAAATGAAAGCCAAAGCCATCGCACTGTAACCTGTGCCCGGTAAACTGCAGTATTGACCATTTCTATTTTAAAAATGTAGGGAACACCAATTTTAACCATATGTTGTGATTTCATTTTGGTTACACATGAGATTTGTACATTCAGCATTGTCATTGAGTTAGTCACACTAACCAAGGGAGCTGACTGCTGTGTTTAAGTCATGCTGAACTTTAGGATAATGTGTGTGTCCTTGGGGGGGCCAGGTGGAGGGCGTCATTTGGGAGGGCAACTGTTCAAGCAAATAAATGCCTTTTCAAACTTGCCAAAATTTTGTCCCTGTTGAAAGGGTAAAATTTTTGACCAGCACCAGATTTTATCCCCTATTGATATTTGATTTGTACCCACCTTATCATTACAATTACAACTGTCATAGGGCTATAGCGCAAAAATCAGAAAATAATCTTGCTTACTAAGACAGTTTTGTCCAAACCAGGTTTAACTAAATATTAAGCTTTTGAAAGTTGTTTTTTATTTGAAATGAACATATATTTGTTAACTACATGATATTATTTGTGGGTGTGTAATGAAGACCTAGAGCATCTGACAAACCAGTAGAGATGGCATGTAATTAGGCCATTAACCTCACATTCATACTTTATACTAGATCAATGCAGTTGAATGGTGTGAAGGATATCTGTATTAGGATTTTATATTTACGAAGAGAACAAAATGAATATTTGTTTATTTTGTCCAGTTTCCTGTGTTTCTCCGCATCATGTTTTGAAAATGTCAAAAGCACCAAATGTCTTTGTATTGAAAAAGACCAATCATTCAAACAACTTCTTTTGTGTGTTATCATTGGGGGGAAAATGCAGTTGTTGTTGATGGATGTGTATCCTCTTATTAAACTGACCACCATATTTTCATGGTTATGGTATGACCTGCCAAGTTTGTTTTGCTCTTTCATGTAGTCGTGTATGATGCATGTTGGAAATTTATTGATATCTAGTCTGATCATTATCTCTTAGACATGTCGTCTCCAAATATTGTCTATTTTATCAATACACCACTGATGCTCACCAGACAAATCTTGTCAATTCTCTAAATTATATGGGATCTTGAATTCTTTTTATTAAAATGTTCCAGTGGCACTGCCATTTGTTTCTTTGACAAGAGTTTTATAACTGAACTTTCACATCATGTCAACATGAAGTTTGACGTTCTAGGTCTCAGTCTAATATCCTTTGAGGCTAGTGTTGTGAGTTGGGTTTTGCGCCACTCTGAGCCATATTCCAACAATATCACGACGATGGACACCAGAAGTTGGCTTCAGACATTGTACCCATTTCATATGAGATGGGAAGTTGAACCCTGGCCTTGGCCTTCACAGCCTCTTTGTTATGGGGTGACGTAGTTGGCCGTGTGATTGCTTGGCACATTAAAGGCTCGGATTTGATTTTCTATCAACGTCCCCTCTTAAAAATCACAGAATTGAGTTTCCGTTCTTGGTCCTCTTGAATTGAAAGCCTTAATGAAATATTTCATGTGAAGAATATTTCATAGGAAACAAAAACCCATTTAGATGTTGTGTTACAGTGTTCACTGGAGGCTTTATAAGTCTGGTATTCAACAGCTGGTTTGAAACACCCTTGTATTCAACAGTGGTTATGAAACGTCCTTGTATTCAACATCTGTCTTGATTTGATTATGTAGGCATTGTGAAACTTGCTGAATTTCATGTGAGGTTTGGTGGTCGTTAAATATCACAGCTTTCTTCCGAATTTATGAGATTTTTTCTTTTATTTATGTATAGTGACTTGACTATGCACTAATCCCAAACAATGCTTATTTGCTACCCTGATTACTACAACATTGAACCTTGTCAACTCTTTTGTAGTTAAGTCTGTTGTAATCATAAGATTGTTAAACTGTGTAGTACTTGAAGTCTTTTCCTTTAATTTTCATTAAACATTAATCAAATATCTTGGGGCTGCAGTCTTTTTTTACTGTACGATTAATATTTACTGCACTGTACTATTTTCAAGGAAACATTTTATGAAAGACTGTAAAATGGCGTTATAAAACTCAAATCTGGATGCATACGAAACATTTTAGGGTCACTGTGAAGATAAGATCCGGGGTAGAATAAGTCTTCAGCAACCCATGCTTGCCGTAAAAGGCGACTTTGCTTGTTGTCAAAGGTTCAGGTGGTCTGGGTCGCTGACTTGGTGGATGCATGTCATCGTATCCCAATTGCGTGGATCGATGCTCATGATATCAATCACTGGATTGTTTAGTCCAGGCTCGATTATTTACAGATCACCGTCATATAGCTGGAATATTGCTGAGTGTCGTGTTAAACAACAAACTAACTAAACTGTGAAGATAACATAGTTAAGATATTTGGTGACGACAGCCTGTGAATGTAACCATAGCTAACAAATGTACTTGCTTACTTTGTTTAATCAAATTGTTTATGACTGGTTGTTTATATTTCCATTCTAGCATCTAGTTCGTGCATAGATGCCTCCCAATACGCTGTTAATATTGTTCATTACCATATGTCAGTATTTATCACTGTACATACAAGTTTGTGTAACCATGGTAACATTGT